GAGGGGGGGGCAGATGGAGGCGAAACGTGAACACTGTAACCTTACACCTGTTTTACAGAATCCCGCGTCGGAGATGTTTTTTTTTTTTTTTTTTTTTTGTGCATGTCTGTTTTTTGGGATCTCCTCTGCGGAGGTGGTTTCGCCCCGTGTATAACTTCTCCGTCTGCAAAGGTGCTTTGCATTGTTTATAGCTGCTCTTCTGAGCTTCGTTTGGAATGTGTTTCTGTCTCGTGTATGCACTTGTTTTTTGGAGTGTTAGTTATTGCTTTGGGGCTCCGAGCCCTTTTGATTGGTCCTTCCAAAACATTCTGATTGGTGGGACTGGAGGGACCCCACAGTGCTGCTGAACTCAATATAGGTAATCGGCCACCGAAGGGCCGTAAGCCACTTGGCCTCCCGGATTCCAAGTCTTGTCCATCAACCTTCCTTTGGAGGCGAAACCTGCACGTCCGACCCCCCTTTCGGCTGTGGAGTCTTCCGCCCGCTAGCTCGCAAACTTGGGACCCCTTACGGCTGTGGAGGAGTTTCGGCTCGCCCCCGCCTTTGTGTGGATCCTTGTTTTGTCGAGTTCGGCTGTGGTGGGGCCCCCGCTGAGGGTGTGTGTGGGGTCGAGGAGGGACGGCAGAGGAAGTCGCCCAGGGGTTGGGGAGTAGTACCCCCAACATTTATTGACGAACTGGCCAGATTGCGTTACAAAAGAGCGTATCACATATTCCTTAAAATAAATAAACCTTTATTTGTTAATATCAGTATCTTTCATCAGCGGAGAAAAGGATTCCTATTTTTCTCAGTGACAATATAGTAAAGCACGGCACAAAGTTTGGGTTGTATGGACTGCCTTTTACGCCTGCCTTTTGCTGCAGACTCTTTGCTGGTGGCGAACGAGTAGCAGGTTGTCGAGTGCGTGCGAGAGCTAGGCACGGAGTGCGCTACCTGCTAATGAACCCACCAGCAAAGGTGCGAGTAGTGTGCGTTCTTGGTTCTTGGCGCCTGTCGCGTGCTGACAAGGTCGGCAGTCGTCGCGCCGTGGCGTTTCCCGCGACAACAATGGCTCAGAGCAGCCGATTGTCGGCCTTCGAGCTCACAAGCGCGGTGCCTGGCCGTTTTTCTGTCACCCTCCGCGGTCGCCCGCACAGCCGTGTTCGCGGTGGCGCGACATACCCATAATGGCGGATGAGACATGGCCGAAGCGCGACAGGCATTGTCCGCACCTCTCTTTGGCCCTGCGTAAACATGCCCCCCGCTTTTTGTGTGAGCGGGCCACGCGACAGCCCGGTTCCAAGCCAAGAAGCGTCGCTCGTGTCTCCTCCTCCGGCCTCTCTCTTTGTACTGCTTCGTCGGTAAGCACAAAGAGGATCGCGCGTCGCTTTCCTTTTCTTTGGTGTCTTGGTTGGCGTCATTCACGGTGATCCTGGCAATAGCCCGGCCCTTGGCGGCTGCCTTCCCGGCGTTGCTGCTACAATGAGCTTGAAAGGGAGGTGCCGGTGTGGCCACCACTTGCTTCTCCCGGCGGCCGAGAGCGGTCCAGCGATTCGCGCCTTCCCCTATTACCATGGCGCCATCGCGATACCTGGCAGCAGCGCCGCACCGACAAGGACCAGTTCAGTTTTTGGGAAAACCAATATTTGAAAGATATAAGGGATCGTGTTTTCATATACGGCTGAGCAATACCTCTACAAGGTGTGATAAAATTCTCTGCTACAAGGTGGCGCTGCTCCCAGCATACAGATTATGCTTCGCTTTATGGACATAAAGGCGGGGACCGCTCTGGCCCGTGCGAAAATCACACCTCCCCTTCTAGCCCAGCATAGCTGGGGCGTTCTTTCTGTGCCTTGCTTCCTGCCTTGCCAAAGTAAATGTACGTTCATGTACTTTAAAAGGGAAGATACTTCCCTTTTCCAAATCTAAAAACACTTCACCTTCAGAAATTTTGTTTGTGTGTGTGTGTGTTTGTGTATGAGAGAGAGAGAGAGGGTACTGAGAGGAAGTGATAGACACTCTCGCCCCCCCCCCTCTCTCTTTCCTTCCCTGGTACACTGATAGGCTGATGCAAGAATGCTCTGCAATTGTATGTTTTCACATTTAAACAAATGGCCTCTCTTCCCGAAACGTCTGTCTTTAACAAAGGCTTGCTATTAAATTTCTCTCGGCGTCTTGGCAAAGTGGTGAGTTCACGCAACCGGCCTGCCTACATGGAAGCTGCGGAAGGATGGAGTGGATTTGCCTGGTGGTCTTCCAACAGGCGACATCGTAATAAATGAGATTACTTGGCTCGTTTTACGCGAGCTAGCGACGTTCGCAGATATTAATGGGGTTTGGGCTTCTCTCTCTACGCTTTGAGGAGACAGTGAGCACTCAGGCCAACTGGCATGGACTTCCACCTTTTATCAATGCGCGGGAAAGAATCCATGACCTCCTGATGTACAGTGCACAACGACAATTTCGGCGATCTCTTGAAGAGTCGTTCTTCCGTCGGCGATGAACTACGCGAAGAGGCTTAGCGTTGAGCAGATCGTAGGATTCATGCACACTGCGTGCGGCGAACATTTTCACTATATATGCACTCCTTCAGCTGCACGGCGATCTGATTTGACCGCGGTAAGCCCCGGAAAGGAGTGCCGAGCTGAACACCACGCAATTTCACGCAACACTAAAATTCGCGAACACCACGTCGCCCTTGCTGCGCCAGTAGAAGTAACCACCATGTTGAAACTGGTACTCTGGCTGGGCTTGAGATCTCTCGAGAGCTTGCCGCAAAGCCCGCTAGCCCGCAACGCAAGATCCCCAGCGTTACGTGCGTACGCTATACGTTAGCCCTCCTATACCGTTCTGCGCATGCGCACTCTGGACCCGCTACTTCTTTGCGTACGAAAAAGCTTTAGAGCACGGTCCACTAAAACTGGGGAGTTTTCGTGGACCGCGTTTCCCCTCCGCTAAGCCCTCCGTAACGAAGAAGCCGCTACTGCGCCTGCGCGCCAGTGGTCTTGACTGTAGAGTTCCGGGTATCGAAGCGGTTTGCGGAAAGTGTTGCGGGACGGCGGAAATCATCTACGAAAACTCCCTAATAGGCAATTTTCGTAAATCGTTTCCGCCGTCCCGCAACGCTCTCCGTTCAGGGCGAGTCGGGGATCCGATAACGACGACGTAATGCGTAAACCTTGTCTTTTAGGTGCATAGCCGAGCAAGAAAGCCCCGCTCGCGCCGTACAGGGCTGCGGCGGCGCCGCACGCCTTACGTCAGTCAGCCTGCATTGTCTCACGAGGCGGAAGCCCGCGTGTGCACTGCGCAGGATGTGCGCGCGACTGCGCGTCTCCGCGAGAGGTGCGCATTGCGGGAAGACGACGTTCCACGGTCCATTTGTTTTTCTTCCCGGTCGCCCCCACGCGCGTGCGTGCAGCCGGCTCATGCCTCTGTACCTCGCCACGCTGTCGCGCTTGTGTGTGTTGGCCTTGATAGAGTCGCGCGGAGAATAGAGAGCCTAGATTTAAGAGTGTTTCCAACTATCGGGGTCACGGTTTGTGGGCCGGGACCCTCCGTCGTATGAGCACTGCCACCTCGGAATCACGTGACGCGGCCGCCATAAGGTGGCTTCGTCTCGTCGCTCGGCTCTTCCCTTTGCGCCTTGGCGAAGGCGTTGTATTCTTGCTTTTCGTCGCGTTTCACCGCTATTTTATGCCCAGCTCCGTAAAGTGTCCTCCAAATATAACTTTACTACCTAATTCCATGCCATCCCAAGGTCCACAACTTGTGCACAATTGGTCTTTAATAACACGTTTTGACTATTGACAACTTCGGCCTGCCGGATATATGTGCGCCGTTTACCTTAACGGCCGACGACCAGACACGAGATTCTGCAAGGCAGAGGATCCGCCTCATTATGGGGGAGGAGGAAACAGGCAACTGTGGACAG